TAAAAGAAAAAAAATTAAAAATTGGGGTTCCAGGAAATCAGCCTTTTAATAGAAATTAAAAAGAAAATTTCCATGCTCCCCTAATTAGACAGCTTCACATTCCTTGTATTCGTGACTAGTTCTCCCCACTTTTCTTTCTTTTCTCCCTATATGTGGTGACACTGTAGGTAGAACTGGAAATTTTATACCTAACATTATTACTGCCAAATGTTGTTGTTGTTTTTTTAAAAAAAATCGTGTTTGACAAGATGGTGTTTTGTTGTTGCTGCTTTGTTACTCTTACGTCTCAAGGTAGGAACACTGGTCTCACGTAGACAGGAAATCAATTTAAAATGCCAGTGTTTATAATTTGTTGTGACACTTATCTGCCATCTAGTTGGTTCCTGATCCCAAACAACTCTATAAAATGAACCTGTTACCTGATTTTGTGCTGTCCTGAGAATCAGCTATGGGTCCAAGTCTGTAATCAGGTGACTTTCAGAAATGGATCAGCAAACTCTTCTCCCTGGTCTACCTTAGTCTAAAAGCTCCGTCTAAACCTTTAACCTCATAGGAAGACACAGCCTCCACAGGCGGACACTTGTGGCTGTGCATTAGGTGTGTTGGCCGGAATTGAACCTGGGTCTCCCACAGTGAAGATGAAAATTCTACCACTAATAAATACTTATTGAGCATCTACTATGCAAAAACTTTTGACTGTGTGAATCATAACAAACTGTGGCTGACTCTGAGAAGAATGGGGATCCCAGAGCACTTATGTGAAACCTATACTTGGGCCAGGAGGCAGTGATCCAAATAGAGAAAGGAAATACTGCATGGTTCAAAATCAGAAAAGGTGTACACCAGGGATGCATCCTATATCCATACCTTTTCAATCTATATGCAAATAGTCGCAGAGACTGGTCTCTATGAGGAGTTATGTGTATCAGGATTGGAGAAAGACTCATCAACAATCTATGTTATGTAGATGATACAACCTTGTTTGCTGAAACTGAGGAGGACTTGAAGCACTTGCTGCAGAAGGTCAAGGATGCAGCCTTTGATATGGATTGAAGCTCAACATCAAGAAAACAAAGGTTCTCACCACTGGGCTAATAGGTAACATCATCATAGCCAGTGAAGAGATTGAAATTATTAACAGCTTCAGCTTGCTTGCCTTCACAATCAACACTTTGATACCAGCAGCCAGGAAATCAAAAGATGGATTGCACTGAGAAAATTTGCTGTCAGGGACCTCTCCAGAGTACTGAGAAGCAACTAAGTCAGTCGAGAGACTGAGGCATTCCTGATCCAGGCCATGGTGCTTGCAATTACCTGCTATGCATCAGAAAGCTGGACAATGACTAAGGATGAAAGAAGAATTGATGTCTTTGACTTGTGGTGCTGGAGAAGAGTATTGAATATATCATAGACTGCTAGGAGAACAAATAGGTTTTCACGTAGAGAATGAAACCAGATTTCTCCTTGAAGGCAAGGAATTTGAAGTTTGGTCTTACCAAACTTGGAAGGACCAGTCCTTGGCAAGGGACATCATGCTTGGAAGGGTGGAGGGACAGCACAAGAGACCTGCATGAGGTGGATTGACTCAGTGACTGGGGTAATGGGGGTAGGTGTGTCAGAGACAATGAGGTTGGCTTAGGATAGAGCAGAGTTCAGAGCTGTTGTACACAGGATCATGATGAGTTGTAAGTAACTCGACGGCACATAACAACAACAGCAGCAATTATGTATCAGGTATTGGCCATATAGCTATGAATGCAATGAAACCTCTCCCTCATAGATCAGAGCTTACATTTGGACAGAACAATACTAACACTTATTGATGGCTTATCATGTGCCAGATATTGTTCTGGGCTTGTCACATGATCACCTAATGGAAGGTGCACTACTGTGCTTGCTCTTTGTTGCATAATCTCACACATCGGGGAATTGATGGACTTGAATTCGTCTCACTCCAGAGCCATAGTGCTGAATTCTCCTGCTCCATTTTGTGATCCTTATATTCCCAGATGGGTTTAGGAGTCTTCCACCTCTGTTCCTATCATCCTCTCTATATTTATCCTTCTTAGACCATCTCTCTCACATCTTGTCACTTCCTTGACTTGATCATATGCCTGTGCAGAGCCTACCACCTACAAATCCCAAACTCTTACTCTTAACCTTGAAACTCAAATGTTTGAGACCAACCAGAACCACTGCCCCATCTCTAGCACATTTAAAAACACACATAAGAGGTATATATATATATGTCTCTATCCAGGTGCATATAGCCAACACCCTCCTTGAGCATCCAGAACCCTGCCGTTCCGCCACATGCAGCTTGGTAAGCCTCCAACTTATGGCTGTGTGAGGGTTCTTTTTGAGGAAGGTTCTGCTCAAAGACATACAACAGGCCACATACAGGCAGCTCAGACAGTGACCTACCCAGGGGCCTGGAGAATTAGTAGAGGTTTCAGATTTAAACGTCACTGCTTTGAGTATTTACACAATTTGGGAGGCTGAAGAAGTGTTGATCTTGGTACTGCCCAATTACTTCCTTTCCCAAGAAATGGGTGGAAATCATCTAAACGACTGGCAAGAAAGGTCTAAAACCCCTAAAATAGAATGATGTACAATCAACTCTCACAACTATCAAGTTGATTCTTTATCACCATCAAATTGATTCCAACTCATCGTGGTCCTTCACCAGGTTTCTGAACCTCTTCCTGGGGAAGACGGACCATCTTTTCTCCTCAGAAAACAAGGTGAATTCGAACTGCCATAGACCACGGAGCCTTCTGGCTCCCATATATATGTGGGTTATAGCACCAGTGTTCCTTCTCATTAACGAACCTGGCTGAATATTTTGCTTGAAATAAATTTAGAAGATAGTGGAAAATGCTGATGATGTCGATGAAAAGATATTATTCTGATCAGGACATCAACTCCCATTTTTCACGCCTGATGAGTGTTTGCAGAGGAAACAATTAATGGCTATGCTTCAATGCAATGGGGTTTTACACATATTTTCCATTATGTTTTTATCTTTATGCTTTTCTATTTTTTCCAGTGTCTGTATAAAATGTATGTTCATGAAAGCTAGAGAAATGAGAAATGTTACTCTATAATAAATAGAAAGGAAATACTTAGGAATGGTTCAGAAACCTAAGTTGGGCCCTTTTAATCTATCTATTTGTGTGTGTGTGTGTGTGTGTGTGTGTGTGTGTGTGTGTGTACTTCGTCTTCAGGGAGCTCAGCTGCAGTCACAGCTCAGCAAATTGCTGGGCTGGAAACCTTGGCCAGCACTTCCTTTGATTCAGATTTCAGGGGCTGTGATGCTGATTGCCAAACTGCCTCTGATGATCTGATTCAGAGATCTAAGGCCTTGAGGCTAGATCATTCCTCATCCTAGTGGGAAATAATGAAACCTTTCCACCTTTGAGTCCTCCGGAACAAATGGATGTGTGAACATACAAGGCTGCAGTCAGGCAGTGATTTTGCACGTTCTCACGATGTGCTTTCTCGTTTAATGTTTGCAGAAATGTTGATGACCAAGGAGCCCAATTAATGGTAGTACCATCCCTCAACTAATTCTAGGAGATGAAAGGACTTGACCAAGACCCTGTGACTAAGCCCAGAACTTGAACCAGCTCTTCTGATCCTGGTCCTTCTCTGCTTTCTTGACTCCATCAGGATAGGGATGGCACATGTAGGCACCTGTCCCAAGTGGGTTGGACAAATAGAACTGAGGGAACCTGTCAGGCACGTGGTGATGGGCAAGATGCCATCAAGACATCTGGCCTGGATCCTTGCAGTTAGAATTATCACTCACATACTGACCTCAAGTTGGAACTGACATATATAGCTGACCCTCCATGAGGCTTTCAAGGCTGAAAATCATACAAGAGGAAACTGTCTATCTTTTTCCCATGGAGCCTCTGGTGAACTTGAACCACCTTTGGGCTAGTTAAGGACTTTAAAGAGACTCAACTCCCCAAAACATGGGAAAGCCTCTGCCACATAGCTGCAAGAAGATTTAAGAATGTTGTTGTTATGTACCAGCTAGTTGGGACTGACCCATGGCTGACCCTATACAGGGTTTTCAGAGGCAGTAAATCACACAGAAATTAACTGCAATGAGTTGTTGGTTTTTTAAAAATTATTTTTTAAAAAAGCAAATGGTTCAAAGTAGGCTAATTACAACAAAACCTACAAAGAGAAAATGAGGAAGTAGAACAGCTAATAGAAGATTGCCACTGGCTATCGGGGGTAAAACCAGGCTGCTGCTTGGAGACAAGGATTCTGAGGCTTCGTCTGACATACTTTGGACATATTGCAAGGAGGGACCAGTCCCTTGGAGAGGGATGTCATGCTTTGAAGGGTAGAGGGACAGCACAAGAGAGGAATACCCTGCATGAAATGGATTGACGCAGTGACTGGGGTAATGGGAGTAGGTGTGTCAGAGACAATGAGGTTGGTTCAGGATACAGCAGGGTTCAGAGCTGATGTACATAGATCACTATGAGTCACAAGCAACTTGATGGAACATAACAACCACCACCACAACTTAACATGGTGGGTTAAACTCTCTTTTTACTGATATCAACTGATACCAAGTCACTGGGTGGTCTCTCTCCTTCCACCCACCTGCAGTCATAAGATCTTTTAAAATTTACATTACTAAACCTGGTTTGCAACAAGGCAGAAACAATTAGCAATTTTGGATGAAAAAATTCTGGCAGGGTTAATTTGGAGTTAGGAATTCGTTATAGATCATGTCAGTACCAACTCATAGCTGACCCTCCAGTGGGTTTTTGAAGGCAGTAAATTTCACAGGAGGTGATTACTCATCTTTCTCCCGGGGAGCCACTGATGGATTCGAACTGCCAGGGAGGTGCTGCCTTTGGGTTTATATCTCAACTCCCTATGGAATGGGTAAGAAAAATATTCTAAACTTCAGAGTAAGATGCCTGTTATTAATTTTTTTCTTTGATGATTCTCTCCTTTGTCTTGTTTTTCAGTATTCCCTGATTTCTCCCTCAAAGAGCTTTAGACTGTCTGCTGATGGTTCCCTCTTCTCTACAGAAGAATTTGACTTTGAGGCGGGAAACAACAGGTAGTCCTGGCACACCCTTGCCTGAAGTACTGTCAGGTGGAAAGCACAAAGTAACTGGCCCAGTGAGAGACATGGGTGCAGCTAGAGTGTTCTGAGGGGTTTATTGTCCCTCTATGTTTAGAGAGTGGGACGCTCAAAGAGAAATGGAGAATATTTAACAAGAACCAAAGTAAAAGAAGAATAAAAGCAAACCGATACCACTGAGTCGTTTTCGACTTCGGGCGGCTGCATGTTGGGAAGGGCTCCAGATTGTCTGAGGACCTTCCTCAGATGCCCGGCCTGAGGGGAGGCAGCTCTGAATCCATGTCAGTTGCCAGAGCCAAATGGCTGCAAACAGTAAGGCATCAGGGTGGATACCAACAGGCCCCTGAGGAAAGAGATGAGGAAAGGCCAGGGTTTAGGGTGAAAACAGGCCTTGGAGTTAACCAGGTTGGAATCCTGGCTTCACCCTGTTGTGAGCACTGTTGTGTGCGAGCAAAGTTGACTACAACTCATAGCAACCCTACGAACAACAGATCTGGATCTAGCCCCGTCCTGCGCCGGCACCGTCATCTCCCCCATTAACCCATTCTCTCCCATTCTCATCATTATCTCCGCTTAGCCCATTGCTGCAGTCACTGTGCCAATCCATCTTTCTGAGAGTTTTCCTTTCTTTCTCTAACCCTCCACCTTTTCCAGCATGCTGTCTTTTCCCAAGGACTAGACCCTCCTGACGACATGCTCAAAGTATATAAAACCACATTTCACTATTCTTGCCTCTAAGGAGCACCCTACTTGCACTTTCTCTAAGACACGTTTTTTGTTTTTTGGGCAGTCCGTGGGATATTCAGTCCTCTTCACCAACAGAACAAATCAAAGGCATCACTTCTATAGTCTTCCTTATTCATTGCCCAACTTTCACATGCCTAGAAAGCAATGGGAAATGCCATGACTGGAGTCAGGTACACCTTAGTCTTTAATATGACATCCTTGTTGTTGTTAAGTGCTGTGGAGCTCTAAGCGACTCATAGTGACACTATGAATGAAAGTCCTCAGCACTTGTCTGACCTTCATCCTCTCTCCAGGTTCATAGGGTTTTCAGAGGCAAGCTATTTCAGAAGTGGATGCCACTCCTGCTTCCGAGCTTGTTTTAGTCAGGGAGCTCCACCAAACACTGTCTGCCATAGGTAATCATTAATGCATTTGACAAGTCAGTGTCACAGTAAGGTCCTTGCTACCATATTTCCCCAATGCAGCTCATTTTTTACTTCTTGGCTGCTGCTCCCATAGTAATTATGGATCCAAGTAAAATGAAATCCTGGGAGCACAAAAGCCATAAAACAAACAAACGCACTGCCATTGAGTTGATTCCGACTCATACTGGCTCTGTAGGAGAACTTCGTCAGAGAGTTTCCAGTCTTTACAGAAGAAGGCTGCCTCATCCTTCCCACATGGCATTTTGTGGAGCCAAACTGCTAAACTATTGATTTGCTGCTGAATTCTTTAACTGCTGTGCCACCAGGGCTCCTGGCCGTGAGGACTGGGACAGTTAATACACTGTTGCCTCAGTGTCCTCGCCTGCGTGTGATTTCTGCCTTGCAGGGATGTTGTGAGAAATGAAGGAGATGGGGTGTGTGCAGTAGCTAGTAAGGGCATCGTGAGGTGTGGGGTCCATGGAAGGTAGCCTGACTGGAGCAGGGGGCTTTAGGGAATTAGAGAAGAGAGGACTTAGCAGGTCTGACCCCTGAAAGAGTATATGAAGTTGGGTAGACAGTAGAAATCACCTCTCCTTACTGCTGCCAACACATTTTGAGGTAATGTCAGTAAAGCCTGATTCTCCCACTCGGACTATTTCCCTGACAGCCACTATCTCATCGTGGAAGTGAGAGATAGCCAAGGCCTCAACGTCTCCACAGCGCTCCAGGTGAACATTGTGAACATCAACGACGAAATCCCTCGCTTTACCAGGTAGGCCCGAGGGCATGCAGGCCTCTGGAGCTCCAGGCTCGCTTCCTTAGGCAGCTGAGTGTCCTCAGACTGTGAAAGGAGAGAAAGGAGATAAAAGACTCTGAGGAGAAAAGATCTTCAGAGTCCTTTATCCAGCCTTTGAGCTTCAATTTCCCACCTTCTGTCTGCATGTTCCTCTACCCCCACATTCACAGCCGCCATGAAGTTATGTACGGTGGGGAGAGGAGTGGGGGCCTGGTGTTTAGTGTGTCACTGGGTGTGTGCTGAGGGTGAATATAAGTCTGATACTTTCATTATTAAATTAATTTAGTTTCATCAGAATTAACAGTTTGCCCTGGCTGGCGCAAACTGTTAATGCACCTGGCTGCTAACCAAAACATTGGAGGTTCAAGTCCACTCAGAAGAACCCCAGGAAAAAAAAATTACATGGTGACCGGCTTCCAAAAGGTCACAACCATGGACACTCTGGAGCAGCTCTGTTCCCACACACGTGGGGTCACCAGACGTCAGCACGGACTCTAAGGCAACTGGAAACCTAGAACAAAGTGTTCAGCACTAATAACAGGAGAATCCAGGAGTGCACGTCGCCAGGCAAGATTCCATGAAGCCCTCTCTAAGAATGCCATCCTTTGACTGAGGAGAGGGCTCTTCAGATAGTGTTTCTGGTCTGAGGTGCCTGCCCACTGCTGGGTGCTCTGCGGGGCTTGTGACCACAGTGGACCTGGGTGAGGAGCTGTTGTCAGGCTGCTCGTAGGTCCTGTACAAGGGAAGGTTCATCTGGTGGGAGGGACATTGATCTAGACACAAAGGGAGACCCAAGCCTGTTGTAGATGTTGCTGTGGATTTAGGATCAAGGTGAGTTTAGAAAGGGGAGATGGATTCTGAACTGACAACTGACCTGTGGAACCAGTCAGTACTCAGGAAGAAGGCAAAATCACTTGCCCATGGGGTAGCTGCATTAATTGCTCTGAGCAAATTCAGCATCAGATACCCTGCCAAAAACCCCCACAGTCAGACACAGAGCACAGAGCGAGAAGGTGCAGCCAGAATGTTCCTTGGAGGCAAAGATGATAAAGCTTCATCTCATCTAACTTTGGGCATGTTGTCAGGAGAGGCTAGTCCTAGGAGAAGGACATCATCCTGGGAAGTTGGAGGGTTGCCATTGACTTGATATTGTCTCATCGTGACTGACCCATGCTTGTCAGAGCAGAACTGTACTCCATGGGGATTTCAAGGATTGAGTTTTTAGAAGTAGATCACCAAAGCCTGTCTTCTGAGGAGTCTCTAAGTGGACTCAAACCACTAAGCTTTCCCTTAGGAGCTGAGTGGTTTATCCATTTGCACCACTTAGGGATCAGCTAGATAAAATGCTTGCACAATGTTCTGAGACTGGGAGGTAAGGCTGCCCTGCTCCCAGGTTATCCCCAGGACTGCTCGGCAAACACACCACAAGTGGGAAACTTCTGGAAGTTACTAACTGATCATCAGCTACTAACTGATGCCAACACCAGCCCATATGCTTCGGGAAAAAGGAGCAGCAAATAAGCCTGTGAGAAAGGCTTCCCGACACTGCTGTGACCAGGTTCCACTCGGAAGGCTGGCAGAGTGCATTTATGCTGATGGATTTCTCCTGGGGCACCGTCCAAGCGGGTTATAAATAGCTGTGACATCCCAGCCTGGATGCAGGGTCAAGCAGTGGCCTGTGCGTCACTGCTGATTCATCAGTAACCCTGAGAGAAGGCTGATGGATGCAGCCTGGAGCGGTTGTGATCTGCGACGGCCCCTTACACTCCAGGACTGTGAGGTGGGAAATCAGGTTAATGGGATCACAAAGGGAAAACATAATAGTTTTCCCAGGGGTCAGAACTTTCAAAAGCACCTGTTTGGGATTGAGTCTTCCAAAATAAAGCATTTGACCTGAGTAGAAAGAGAGTCTGACCCCAGCTGATTGTAAGGGTACCGGAAACCTGCCTGTGATTCTCTTGTTCTCGAGTTTCCTTTGATATAAACCTATTCGGCTTCATCCCCCAGACAGAGGGTGTCACCTGTGTGACTTGCTAACCATTTTATGCCTATGTGGTGGCAAATGTCTGTTTAGTTCGATGCCCTCTAAGAATGGGCCTTGTGGACTCCTGAGGCATACTCTAGGATTCTGGTATTATTCTTATTTTGTAAAAAATATACTTTTAAAAATATTGTTTGCTTACAAAATTTGAACATACTGTGTTTCCTGCTATCCCTCATTCACACTGTGTTTCACACAATCCTTCCTATTCATTATATTTTATAAAATTAATCAACACTGAACCAGGCCCACCATTACCTTGTCTTCCTAGATTCCCACTGGATCTTTAATAAAAAAATGTAAGTTGGTGTCTGGCTTGTATCTGTATGTACGCACAGTGTTTACCACTATTTATTGTTTTTGAAAGTATGTATAGCAAAACATACACCAAATTCCACAACATGTGCCGATCAGTCACGTTAATTCCATTCTTCCAGTTGTACAACCACTTTTGCTGCCTTTTTCAGAATTGTTCCTCTCCAATTAACCTCAGCTCACTGCCCTTACACTTCCCATCTGATGTTTCACACTGTTGTTTCCAATATGATCCCGTATAGAGAGCTTTTTAAAAGTGTGATGTTGAAGGCAGACATTCCTTACTAGTGTACTAACCAATTAAGCTGACCTATTATTTGGTTCACTATGAGGGAGCTCTGGTGGCTTAGCGGTAAGGAACTGTGCTGCCAGGACAAAAGGCAAACGATTCAAATCCACCAGCTGCTCCACAAGAGAAGAAAGGTAATCTCCTCCTGTGCCATTTACAGCCTCTGAAAACATGCTGGAGGGTCAGCTATAAATTGGCTCAGACTCGACAGCAATGAGAGTTTACCATCCAGTGTCTAGTCCTGTCTCCTGCATATTTTATGCACTTACTGAATACTCGTTCATAGTCACAGAGCTGCCTACAGCCACCTAGAGCTTACAGCCCTTTCCATGGGTACTGCCATTGGCCTTGTCTGCCGCATCAACTCTGGAGATTTGACGGTACAGGGGGAACTACATGGGGATGTAAGTGGTAGCAGTTGTCCTGTTGGGTTGGCTGCCTCACCCTGGTTTCACTGTGTTTTGGATTGCTGTTAACTGTGAGGGGTATTTTATGATGAAAGATGTTGTTGACACCATGTATTTTCAATAATTGGAAGCATGCAAAAACCAAGGGGAAAGTTTTTGATGTAATGTGGATTTTGATACAATTATGTGTCTGATTCAGGCCATGGTCTTTCCAATTACTAGCTATGCATCCAAGAATAGGACAATGAATAAGGATGACAGAAAAAGAATTGATGCCTTTGAGCTGTAGTGTTGGAGAAGAGCACTGAACATCCCATGGATAGCTAAGAGAACAAACAGATACGTCTTGGAGAGGGTGCAGCCAGAATGCTTTTTGGAGGCAAGAATGATGAGGCTTCACCTCACATACTTTGGACATAGTGCTAGGAGGTGCTACTCCTTGGAGAAGGACATGATGCTGGGAAGGGTGGAGGGTCGCAAGGGAGAAGACTCTCAACCAGGTGGATTGACACGGTGGCTGCTGCAATGAACTCTTGTATGTCAGGAAGTGTGAGGATGGCTCAGGACAGAACTAGTTTCAGATCTTTTGTTCATGGAGTCTCTCTATGAGTTGTATTCTACTTGATGGCACCTAACAACAACAACATGTGGGACACATATATGTCAAGTAGACTCTGGCGGTAGTATCGATGGGATAAGAACTGTTTCTTCAGATTTTCCCAGCTGCAAAAGTCCCTACCAGGCGGTAGTAGGTTCTGTCTGTAGAGTAATAGCTTCCCAAGAAACTTAAGAGGTAGAAAATAGTGGTGAGAGGTATATGTACCATGAGTCATTAAAAGGTTATGGAATTATCTATATGGAATTCAATATCTAATTGAAACTTGACAGATTAGGTGGGAAAATTAGTGGTTTATGCTAATGGTCAAGAAAAAATTGGAAAATGAGAGTAGAAATGGTTACACAACTTGAATAATATAATCATGCTACTGACGTGTTGTTGTTGTTAGGTGCTATCGAGTCGTAGACAACTCATAGTGACCCTATGAATGAAATGCCTGAGCACTATTCATAGAGTTTCCAGAGGCAAGCCATTTTCGGAAGTGGATGCTGCTCCTGCTTCCAGGCTTGTTTTAGTCGGGAAGCTCCAGCCAACACCATCCACCATGGGTAAGCATTATCATATTTGGCACATCAGTGTCCCAGTATTTAGCATCACAGCAACCATGAGTTATCTCTGTGCAGCAACTCACAGACCAGTGCTATACCACCTAGAATGTTTGACAGGAAAACAAATTGAACCCGGCCTGAGGGCTGCAGGTTAAAATCACCCACCTCGGGCTTGGTAGCATAACTTTCTGTCCACTAGGCAAACATAGCTCTCTCTGTGTTGTCGTTGTTATTGTTAGGTTCCGTTGAGTCGTAGACGACTCATAGCGACCCTATGAGTGAAAGACCTAAAGCACTGTTCATAGAGTTTCCGAGTCAAGCCATTTCAGAAGTGGATGCCACTCCTGCTTCCAGGCTCGTTTTAATCGGGAAGCTCAAGCAAACACTATCCACTACTGGTAGAACTTGTTAAACTGAGGTATGGTCTATTGTGTACATAGCCAACAACAACAAATAGCATCCATCAAAACAAAAGTTCTCACAGAATGAATGTGAAGGCTGAGCCCAGTCCCTTGAGTGCCATGTGTTATTCCTCTGGCTCAAGTTTGGGAGACTGCCACCCTCACCTCCTTGGCCCTCAGCAGACCCCTTCCTCCCACTGTGTCTACTCCTGGACCCATCAATGGGCAGCATGACGTGGCCCACTATAGAGGAAACCAGTCACTTGGTGTACCAGGAACTTAGCTTAGCAGGAATAGTAGCTTAGCAGGCCTCTTTCAGTGGGATTCCAGGTGGGGAGAGGCCCAGCTCACTGGGACGTCCTTTCGGGCTCAGCAAATTATTACTATCCCTACCCCCACCCCCACCCTCATCCCCCCACCCCCAACTGTGGCATGAAATGACAGGAGATCACCTCCTGTGGGGAGAGGGTTGGAAGCAGATGAGCATCTATGCAAGAGACTTGAGGGGAGAGATGGGGACCAGGTCAACAATTACCTCATTAGCATTGGGGGCTCAGCCCAGGCTCCCAGGGGAGCACTTGTTGGAAAGAGCAGGAAGCAGCCTTTTTCTGCTGGCTTCTGACTCATGAGGATGGAGGGGCAGATCCTCTTAGTCCTTCTCTGGAATTCTAGTGAGTATTTGAAGTTCCTTCTTGAATTACCCCTTCCTCATGAAAGTGAATACAGTGATTTAGACCTGAGTGATGGTATTGTAAAAGCTATTTAATCAGCTATCATAGAGTCCATTCCAAGTGTTCTCTAAAACATCTTTCAGTGGCTGCTTTTTTTTTTTTTTTGGAAACAGATCTTTCCAGGCAGCTCTGGGTGGACTTAAACCTCCAATCTTTCTGTTAGCAGCCAAGAATGTTAATGGTGTGTGCCATCAAAGATGGTCTTGTGTGGGAAAATCTAAACTTAGGGAACTGTTAAATTGTTGTGTGGGAAAATCTAAACTTAGGGAACTGTTAAGTTGTCGTTAGATGTTCTCAAGTGATCCTATGAACAACAGATCCGATGTTTGCCCTGTGCTTGCCATCCTCACCATCCTGAAATGCTCAAACTCATTACTATGGTTACTGTGTCAGCCCCTCTTACTGAAGATCTTCCTCTATCTCTGACCCTTTGCCTTTATCAGCATGATGTCTTCTTCCAAAGTTTGCCCCATCCTCACAACCTCCCCGAAGTATGAGAGATCAAGTCTCAGCATCTTCGCCTCTAAGGCACCCTGGTTATTCTTCCTCCCTGACAGACGTGCTTGTTTTCTCATCAGTCCATGGAGGGATAGTCAGTACCATCAGGTCAATTCTGATTCACAGTGACCCCATGTGATGGCATAGAATCATCCCCATACAGTTTTCTATGCTGTAATCTTTCTGGGAACAAATCACGTGTCTTTTCTCCCACAGAGTGGCCATGGGCTCAAACATCTAACCTTTCCAGAGCAGCCGCGCAGCTAGGGCTCCTTAACTGATAAATTAGAGGTGACGATTTGCCCTACTGAAATGATTTTCCTTCAGCAAAAGGATTTCCTGCAGAGTTACTTTAAACAATAAGCTTCCCTTGGTGCATTCAAAATTACTCAATTTACCCAATTACCTGTCTTATTATTGTCTGCGCCTCCAAAGGCAGTAGGGATCTGAGAAGATGAGTCAGCTGCTGAAGGGGGTTAGCGTGTAAGAAGTCACCCGTGGAGGACAGCGTTCTAATGTTGTCTTCTGCCAAGGGGACTTCTTCTCCGATCAGAGAGCTGACCTCATGAATAATGCAACTCTAGAAGGTGCATACTTCTGTGCGTAGATTCTGTCTCCTCGGGCAAAAAACCCAAAGAAGACAAGGACAGACTAAAAAGCCAACAGAGGCATTAGACTATAGAAGGTTTGTCATTTATTCAGCTTCTGGTGGTAGCCACAGGATGTGGACTGGGGGAGCAGGGAGGGTGCAGAACCTGTAGTCCTGCCTGTTATCACTGGGTGGAGGTTTGTTGTTTTGTTTTTTTTTTTTAATTTAGAGACATTTTGCACAGTGAAGATAGTTAGACTGCCTAATGATCTTTATTTTAAAAGATATTAAACCCAAGTCTGCTCTTACCCAGCACCAGGAGTACAGGGAGCTGGAGACCACAGCCTGATGTTAATCTTAGCAAGCACAGCGTGCCACTCTCTTGCATCTTTGTAAGAGAGCTGGTTTCTGAAAACACAAAGCCAGACTCTTCTTTCAGCTGCGGCAGTTCTCCCTCTGAGCATGCTGATGCGACTTAAACAGCTCCGTGCTATATTTAGCAGTAACCAAAATACCCACCTTCCAGACTCCACCCTCTGGTGCCCTGAAAATTAGCTGTGTCTGCTGTATTTGTGTTCCAGCCCAAAGCGAGTATATGCGATTCTGGAGGAGCTGAGCCCAGGGACCATTGTGGCCAATATCACAGCCAAGGATCCTGATGACGAGGGTTTCACCAGCCACCTCCTCTACAGCATCACTACTGCTAACAGCTATTTTATGATAAATCAGCGTAAGTCACACACGTACAACATGCATTTTCTAATGCAGCCAATTGGATTGTTGTGCAAATATATTCTATATCTCTGGGTGAGGGGCAAGATTGTCTAAGTGCCCATTATTGGTTACTAGAGTAAAGTTGTTAAGTGTTACTGAGTCAATATTGGCTCAAAGTAACCCTATGCGACAGAGTGAAAAAAACCTAGAGTTTTCTAGACTGTAATTTTATAGGAGCTGTTGCCAGGTCTTCCTCCTTCTGAACTGGGTAGATGTCATTCATCAGCCTTCCCATTTGTAGTAGATGACTTAACCATTGCACCACCAGCCTGCTAAATTGGGTTAACAGCCTTATTAAAGCAGCTGGTGTGGGGCTGGGGACACTGAGTGGGACCTAGTATTGTCAGCAAGGCGACCCTTCACCTTTGAGAAAGGTAATATGTAATGCTGAAAGGTTAACTATCCTGAAGATACCCCGGGGTCTTTTGAAGAGAAGATCTATACTAGCAGTACCTGATAGAAATGCACTGGAGACCACAGATAGCATTTTAGAATGGCTGGTAGCCATGATGAGAATATGAAAAAGAAACAGGTGAAATGAATTCTATTGAACCCAACATATCCAAAATATCAGGGAGTTCTGGTGGCAGAGTCTGTGAGGAGGCTGTGCTGCTGGCAGTTCAAATCCACCACTTATTCCTTAGAAGATGGACAGTCTCCTCCCGTGTGATTTACAGCCTCCTAAAACCTACTGGAGGATCAGCTAGGGATCCAAACTGTCAAGGAGTTCTGGTGGCCTAGTCCATAAGGTGTCCTGCTGTTAACCCAAAGGCCACGCATCTCTCATAAATTACACCCACCCTCAGCTCCTCAGAAAAAAGATGGGCTGTCTCTTCACACGCAATTACTGCCTCAGAAACCCAGTGGAGCTACAAGTCCTTTATGACTCGATAGCAATGAGTGAGCGATTCAAAATAGAATTTAAACATAAAGTTTATATAGAAAGAAAGATTATTTACTTGTTTGTGCCAAGATGTTTGGTTTGGTTTTGGGTGTTGCTTGTTTGTTTGTTTTAATGTTCAGCTTAAATTAATTCAAGCTAGTCACATTTCAGGTGCTAAATAATAACCACATAATAAGTGTCACCAAAGTGTACAGTGCAGGTCTGGGTTGATCTGCTGAGTTGCTGTACTTCATTTTTTCTGTCACTGGTGACCTAGTGGCAAGAAGCTGTGCTGCAATCCTGAAGGCACACAGTTTGAGGCCTCCAGCTGCTCTGGGGGAGAAGGATGGGCAATTTCCTCCTGTGCAATTAACTGAAAACCCACTGGAGGATCAGCTGTGGTTTGCTTCTGACTCAACAGTACACAATACACAACAACACACAAACAACTCTGAGTTTATTTCCTATCTGCAGAGAAGACTGGAGTTTCTAGTCAAAACAGCCATTTTTCACTGAGGGCTTCCACAAATTGTACTGAATGATTCACAGACATTCTATCTCAAATCAGCACAAGAACTCACTGAAGTAGCATCAGCCACATTTTACAGATGAGGAAACTGAGGATTAGGAAAAGTCATGCAGATCCGATGACTTGACCAAGGTCTTAAAGCTCATGAGTTATGAGGCTGATACTAAACTAAGCCACCTGACTCCAGAGTCCACCTTCTTAATTGCTACTAGACTGTACTATCTACCTAAATCCTGGTCATATCACAAAAAAGACTTCACTTAGAATAATGATGCTACAAAGCAAAAGGATCTTCCCCCTGAGATGATGTTCCTTGAAGATTTTGCTAAGACTAAAGTGCACCTGATCCAAGCCGTGGTCTTGGCAGTTACTTGCTATGTATGCATCAGAGAGCTGGACAGTGGCTAAGGATGACAGAAGAAGAATCAATGCCTTTGATTTGTGGTTCTGGAGAAGAGTCTTGAACATACCTAGGGAACAAACAGGTCTGCCTTGGAGAGGGTAAAACCAAGTTGCTCCTTGGAGGCAATAATTTTGAAGCTCCATCTCACATTCTTTGGGCATGAGGCCAGGAAAAACCAGTCTTTGGAGAAGGACATCATGCTTGGAAAGGTGGAAGGACAGCTCAAGAGAGAAAGACCCCAGATGAGATGGATTGAATACAGTAACTGGGGCAATGGGGGTTGGTGTGTCAGTGTTGGTGAGACTGGCACAGAATAGGGCAGGTTTCAGAGCTATTGTACATAAAGTCACTATGAGTTGCAGGGGACTTGATGACACTTAACAATAATAGTACTGGAGAAGGAAGACTTGGTGAGACAAACCCAGCTGCTAACCAAAAGTTTGGTGATTTGAATCCAACCAGTGGCTCCACAGGAGAAAGATCTCACAATGCATTTATGTCAACTCTATGAGACAGTTCTACTGTTACCTGGGGTCACTATGAGTCTAAAAATCAACAAGAAGATACCTAACAACAGCAGCCTTAAAGATGAGTTTCTTAGTAGTGTGAATGTTTAACATGTTCAATTGCGAACCAGAAATTTGGAACTTCAGGCTCTCCGAGATGTGCCTGGGGAAAAGGTCTGGGGATCTGCATTTTTAAAAATGGCCATTGATAACCCATTGATAGACCATATTCAAGCTTTAACACAAAGGAGCTTTTCATGAATTTTCCATGATTCGATGGCAAATGGTGGTCATGGGTGGTATTAATGAACAATCTCAGAAATTTGCTCTGTAGGCTTTCAGACAAAGGATACCTATGTGCAGGGAAGGCCGGAAAAAGGCAGTAGCTGAAAATCTCCTAGTGCTCTAACATTATGGTCCTCCGCCCGGGGTTTAGAATTATGGTTGCCCTGTATTTGCGAGTTGAACTTTTAAGAAGTACTTTTTGGAGCATGTTTATTAAGATTCTTTTGTTTCAAGCAACAGAAACTAATGCAACTCAACCTAAGGGGGTGGAAGTGGATATTTTTAAAGACAAAGGACTATATCAAAAGGCTACTGGATATCTCATAAGAAAGAGACAAATGCTCAGAACATAGGCACCTCCAAGGGCTTCATCAACTAGACTATAACTTTGACCTGTACACCTTTGACCTTTGACAGCTCCACTGGTAACCCAACTCAGTTTCTGATTCCCAGCTCACGGTGTTGAATCTTTGGGTCAAGCCAGAATCAGGTGTCTACCAGTTCAGGCAACTCTGGGGCAGGGCTTCTTCCAGAGGACCACAACTGAAGTTAAAGGTGAATAACTCTAAGATAGGCAGTTCTGATACCACAAGAAATACCTAATTCAGGAACTTAATGTGAACTTTTTAAAAGCTAGATTTTATATATATATAATATTCTCTTTGCAAGCCAGCCCTCCTATTAGAATGTTCTTTTCCGGTTTTCTCTGTCTCCATCCCCCTCCTCTTCTTCTCTCTCCAAAAGGGTATGTTCTAATCTTTGTCTTCTCAGTAACTGGTTCAATCCAAGTGGCCAGCAGGCTGGACCGAGATGCTCATGAATTAAGACAAAATCCCACCATTTCTCTGGAAGTCCTGGTGAAGGATAGACCCCAAGGGGGCCAGGAAAATCGTGTCCAGATAACTTTCCTTGTGGAAGACATCAATGACAACCCTGTGACTTGTACCAAGTTCACCTTCAGGTATTTTCATTTTGAAACTTGTGCTGGGCATTTCACCTCACCTATGCCACATGACCCTTTAGTTTCTCAGATATATTCTCAGAAGTGAGTCATCTTATTTCATCCATAGGTTTTCCTTTCATTATTCTTTTATTTTCCTTCTCATTTTCATGCTGGGAAGGGTGGAGGGACAGTGCAGGAGAGGAAGTCCTCAGATGAGATAGATTCATATAGTAACTGGAGTAGATGTGTTGGAGTCAGTGAGACGGGCTCAGGACAGGTCAGTCTTCTGTACATAGTAGGACAGGGCAGACCTGTTGTACTTAGGGTCGCTATATGTTAAAGGTGACTCGATGACACATAATAACAACAACAATTTCCTTTTTTTTTTGTTATCTCTCCTCTCCAATTTCTTACTCTCTTAAAAATGTGTTTTTATTTTGTTCCCTTCTCTGGAATGTTCATCTCTGTTGGTGAAAAGTACCGCTGGGACTTGTTAGACCCTCTCTGGGCTGTGCCTTTTCTTTATTTATTGCCACTAGTGGCCAAACATTCTGTTAGTTAGCACTTATAATAGATGCTTGAGATTTAGGATGAGCAACTGGGAACTCCTAGAGAAACAAACTGCTGGTACTATGAATAAATCAAGCAAAGTACTTACTTAAAACCAAACAAACCATCTAATTCACCTTACACAACTTAATTGCACATAAAACAAAGAGGGAAAACACAGACACAAGTGAGATACAAGCTAATTTGTTTATTTTGGCCTGCTCTTGTCTCAGTATTTGTTCATTTCCCCCCCCTCCCCATTATTGATTCTGACTTATAGGGCAGAGTTGGAGTCAGCCTCTGCTGGCCTAGTTAGGTAAGGAATTGCATAGCCAGCCTAAAGGCAGATGGTTCGAATCCACCAGCTGCTCTATTAGAGAAAGATGAACAATCTCCTCCCATGCAATGTACAACCTCTGAAAACCTGCTTTGAGCTGGTTCCTATTCGATGGCAAACAATAACATACAGCACAGTAGAGATAGCCTTCTTGAGTTTTTAAGGTGGTGAATCTTAAAGGAAGCAGACGTTTCCCATGGAGGCAATGACTGGTGGGCTCAAATGTTGACCTTTCAGTTAGCAGTTGGGTCCTTTAACCACCACGCCAGCAGACACCCTAAATCTATTCTCCATTATTTAAAAACAAAATGCTTTGTGATGTGGGTTATCAAGCCTTTTTAAAGTGGTATTGTCATTCTACTAAATGTTTGGTGTTGGGTTTTGGTTGGGTTTTTTTTTTTTGTGTGTGTGGGGGGGCTTCCCCCAAAGCCAAAAGATTAGTAATTCCCATTTCACCTCATCTCTGTGGTTTCCAACAGCCAGTCTCCAGTTTATTGAGTTTTCAAGGCAGTGACCTTTTGAAAGTAGATCACCACCATGTCTGTCTCCTGAGGCACCTCTGGAGTCAACCTTTCAGCTAGCAGCCAAGTATTTATCTGTTTGCACTGGTCAGGCCTTTCAGAGAAAGCAATAGAACACAACGTCCTTTATTATGCTTGTGACTGTCTCTGTACTTCCAGGTACGGGCCCAGTATCATGCTGAGGAATCAGTTGTTGCATCAAGTATGAGATGAATAAACTGTATTGAGAGCACATGCCATTTGGCCTCCTAAATCAATTTCCCATCTCTCCCAGCCTGCCCTGTGTCCCAGGAAATTGACTTATATGGGTAACCTAAATGGACAGGAAACTGGAGAGATGGGGATGGTGGGCTAGAAGTATTTATGTGACTACTGCCAGCTAGATGTCCCTCCACTCTCCAAAGGTCTCTAGTACTATAAGGGCTAAATCAAACCGAAAGACCAAACCCAACTCATTGTTTGGAGTCCAACTTACAGTGACCAACATACAATGATCATCCATAGGTTTTCAAACAATGTAAAGTAGACTGCCCATCTTTTTCCCTTAGAGAGGCCGGTGGGTTTGAAATGCTGACCTTTTGATTAGCAATCCAATATACTATATGCTACACCACCATGGCAGTCTCCTCCAAGCAGTACTCTCTATTCCAGGTTCTGGTTTCAGAAACTTCTCCCACCAATGGCCTCATTTTTACTGGCTCTGAGGTTTTGTGCTATCCCTTGAGATTCTAACTTTGTAATGGTTTCTTCAGTAAATTTTCCCATTATTACCCTAATTCTCTGGATCCTTGATATAGTCAGAATGGCTTTGACTACTTGGTTCCCACCCTATTCCCAAGCACCCAAGGCCCTTAGAATCTCTTAGATGAGCAGGGATGGTTGCTATGGGGATTGAGGATCTGATTCTCACATCATGATATGCATACATGGAATCCACCCTCTGTGAAGAGAAGTCTGGGCCCTGAGGATCTTCAGTATGATTTACAGGCTTCCAAAAATCTGCTTAAGGATCAGCTATGAGTTTGTTCCATTTTGACTGTAATGAATTGAATTGTGAGTTGTATTACGGAATGGCTTTTAACAAATAGAAATTTGTTTTCTCTTGATTTAGGCAAGAGATCTGGTGGTCTAGCGTTAGTAACCCAAAGGCAGGTGGTTCAGATCTGCTGTTACACGGGAAAAAGATGAGAAATCTCCTGTGTGATTTACAACCTCTGAAAACTCACTAGAGCATCATCTATGAATCAGTTCCAACTCCATGGCACACAACAACAACAACAATGACGACATAGTTTAGATGTCTAGAAATCCTTATCCTGAATACCATCTCTCAGAAGATTTTTCTCTCTTTCTTAGAGAAAACCTATTGTCTCCTCAGCTTCTGTGTCCTGGTTCCTTGTAGAACTCCCTGTGTTTTGGTATCAGGTTTTCCCCATTCCTGTTTCTTTTACTTACTTATTTAGTCTCTTTTCTACCTCGAAAGAGATTGATTGAGGATACACTCTATACTAATCTTCCCTCAGCAATAAAATAAAGACAACCCATTTCCAAATGGGATTATAGACACCAGCATGTTGTTGTTTGCCATCAAGTCAAGCATGACTTTGAGCAATTCCATGAACAAAAGACCTAATGCCTTTTCTATAACTATTGTGGTTTCTCCAAGTTCATATAGTTTCCATAGGCATGTGGTTTAGGAAGTGGAAGCCACTCTTGCTTCCAAAACTGTTTTATAACTGGGAGCTCAACCAAACACTGTCCACATTGGGAAACCATTATGGCATTTCACACCCCAGTGGCACAAGGTTCAGCATCACAGCAAACCTAGATTATCTCCGTATGGTAAACTGGCAAAGAGTGATGTACAAAATAGAATAATGTTCCTCCAAAATAGAACACTAGTCTCATTTAGTAGTAGTTAACAGACATCAGGTGGAAAACGACTCATAGCGACCCTATGAAAAAAAGACCTGAACTCCGTTCTACAATTAACATTCTTTTTTATGTTGATAGAGTTTATAGAGGCACCTGGTTTAGGAAGTGGATGCCACTCCTGCTTCCAAACCTGCATCAATCTGGAAGCTCTCCAAACACTGTTCATGATGGGTAACCATTATGGCACTTGACACGACTATGGTACTATGGTATTGCCTGTCTTTCTGAAGTGTTCAGCATCACAGCAATCCAACTTATCCAGTACAGCAAATAGACAAACTTGCTGTACCACTTAAAGAATGTTAATGCTAGCGCAATAAATTTGGCTCCAAGGACTGCGGGCCATAACTCTAGAATTTTAAAGACACACTCAACAAATGCTGTTGACTATGATAAACCAAGTAAGTATTCCCTCCACCCTTGGGTCCTTGTTGGCTAAAATGGGCAAGCAAAAGTCCAGCCAGCTGACATCTGCTTGTGGAGGGAAAGACGAATAACTCAAACCAAACACATACCAAGACAGACCCCAAAACATTCCTTACGTGACCCTCATCAAGAGGTGAGAAACCAGCTTCTAGAGTGGAGCCACTGCATGTGACCTCCAGGATAGAAATGTGAAAACAATTGTGTTTCACTGACTACCTACGTTAGAATGACCATTTGTTGTGTATCAAAACTGCCATGTTAAAGGGAAAGATAGAGAAACAAAAGCATAGAGGTTAGGATTTTTTAAACACATGTCCTAGGGGATCATAATTCAATCCATAACATTCTACACCCAAAATCCAAATTCTTGCCACATACTAAACACACTCACCCCCTTGCATCAACCTGAAAGTCTTAAATCAATTCCTAGTTCATCTTCTAAATCATCTAAGTCAAATATGGATGAGACTTTAGGCATATTCCATCCTGGGGCAAAATGTGGAATATAAATGATCTGTTTCCACAGTATAATGATGGAACAGGCGCAGTGTAGACAATTCTATTACAATTGGGAGAAATTACAAATAGGAGGGGAAAGAAGGGATAACAGGTACCAGTAAAGTCTAAAACCAGCAGAACAAATTAGATTAGCTTCCAAGGTTTGAAAATAATCCTCTCTCCTCTGAGAACATCTGTGTAAACAGGCCCACCCTCTAGACTCTGGATATTGGCCGTGGTTTTTGAATTCTGAGTGGAAGCTTCTCAGCCCTGGGCTTCAGCTCTGCTTATCCTCTGTTATCCTGTGAGATAACAACCTCACTGCCTCAGGTTTTGACAGTCTCATCCTCCTGGTTCCTTTCAATAGCAACTGGACCCTTGAGCCCCATTCTTCTACCCCAGGGTCATGGCAGCCATGACCCCTCAGCTTTGGGTGGTGGCCCTATTCCTTGGTTACTTTAATGGCATCCTCATATTCCAGAATTGAGTTGACAAAGACCCTGGTCTTTGAAATCTAGAGGGCTGTATGCTTTAAGATCCAGAAGGTTATGGCTTTACCCTTTGAAATCCAAAAGGACCTCTTTCCTATGCTCTTTCTACAGCTCTGCTGGTCTCCAAGCTGCTCCAGGGATGGTCCTTTCTTTTATTGGAGAACAACAGATGTAGTTTATTTTGGTCTATTTCCTTCCTGTACAATTCTAAGAAGCAGATTGTTCTTTACTTTTTTTTTTTTTCTTTCTCTGTCCTTATCA